TAATAATAATAATAATAGGCATTTATATATAAGACAAATAAAGTAATTTTAAAGCTGGCAGGGAAAGAGCAAGAGAGAGGAAAAACCAGAAATGTATTTGAGCAATAATACAGTCTGGCAAGGCCTGGATGAAGAAAAGGGTGCAAGTGGTTGCACTTGCAGGACCTTATATGTGTATTTATGTGTATGTAAGGTATTTAAATACGTTTAATTATCAGACATTCTTCCTAGCACTTTGAGACCTCTTTCTTTCTTTCTTTCTTTCTTTCTTTCTTTCTTTCTTTCTTTCTTTCTTTCTTTCTTTCTTTCTTTCTTTCTTTCTTTCTTTCTAGTACAACTCTGACAAATTGGGGCCCCTCCTGACATTTATTGTGTGAAAGAGCTAATTTATTTCCTGCATTTTCATGTTGGAAATTCCAGTTCTGGATAGGAATGAAAAGGGAAAGCAAGCAGAGCTTGACAGTTCCAAAATACAAGGCAAGCTTGTAAGGAGCACCGTTTTCAGATTTTTGCCTCCGTATGTGGATAATAAGGCATATCAACTCTGTAGGCTGGGAAGAGTCAGCCCATTGTCTGGATCAAGCCCTTGGAAGCAGTTTACTTAGCTATTGCCTCCCAACTCATTTGTAATTAAAAACATAATGGATCAATTCTCCCATAATGCCACTTAAGCTTCTTCCCTCCCCCACTTCATATTTTAAGAAACAAATATTCCATGCTGGAATCTCCTACATCTACTTTGAAGTTTGAAGCCTCATATCTTTTAAGTGGATTCACATACTTAAATGCAATCCAGTGAGTGGATGCATATTCTCTGTAAGTGCAAAGATCATGTTGTGCCAGCCTGATGGTGCCAACGTTTCATAGGAGCCGTTCGTGGATCAAGAGAGACATCCAGGACCTGGTTGCTGTCAGTAGAATGCAAACATTGTCCATATGTGTGTTAACATAACCGTCTTCTCCTGTTTGTGTCATCAAGGAAATGGCATGTTATGCTTGCTGAGAGGTAGAGGGCTGAAATGTGCTGTAGCAAACACCTTGAACATGCAGAGAAGCAATTCTCATGACTTACCAAATAATTATATGATCAAAAATACATGTTCTTGTCACATTAGATTCGCACTTGGTTACGTGTCTTATATCTTATCCATCTTTAATGTTTCTCAAATTCATGCAACCTTGGCTTTCAGCAGTGTGCGGGTTATGAGATGAACAAGGCAGAGTTTAGGACCCAGAGGTTATTTTTGTGTGTGTTTTTTTCTTTTAGCTTACAGCCTGTGACAGCTGACCGAAAATCAATGAAGTGTACTTTAAGAAGCTTCACAGTGGTGCAAGATAAAGGCTCAAAAGCTATTCTCTCCGCTCCTAGCCTATTAACTGCCATGGTTTAGAATTATTTTGCCTTAACCCCTTTCTCAGATGGAAGTTGTTTGCCTATGAAAATCAAGAAATCTGGTGGACAATGTGGCCGTGATGATGGGAGTGCTGGATTTTATGATAGTGTCCCTCGTTTGCTGTGCTAACACGTCCGGTAAGTGCAATTTATTCCAGTTTGAAATGTGTCAGAAATAAGACTGCTTGCAAAAACACAGATGCATTGATGTGCAAAATTAATCTGCTGAGTCTTGCTGTTCAGGCATGTCTGAAATACTTTTGTGTGTGTTCATGCATGTGCATTCACAAATAACCTACATTAAGAAAAGAACCTGGAGAGAAAATATTTTCAACAGTTTTCATCGTTAAGAGTCTTATCTTTGACAGAGAAGACTAAATAAATAAAGTATTATAATGCTGACCTCATAAGTTAAATCATCATCACTGTAAGCACAGAAAGTACAAAAATTACAAAATGCCGAGTATTAAAGCAAGATATCAAAATAATATGTAAACAAGAGGACATCCTCCTTCTCTTCCTAGTTTCACCAACTGGATTTGTTATAAAATCTTTGGTTACCAATTTAAAACAATTTCCAGTTGCTGCTAATTTGACTCCAGAAATTAAAAAAACTGGGGTCTTTGCAAACTTGCCATCTTAGCTGTACATTTTTAGGTTTTGAGTCCTGATGTTTAGGCTTGATTCTTTGGTCTGTTCCCATGTACCAGCAATGCTGAGAAATAAGAAATAATGGGATTTGTTATCACTGCTTTATATAGTACAGTCAGGATAACAGTGCTTTACAGACAAACAAGCAAAATAATAGATCTCTACCTGAAGGAGCTTATAGTTTCAGAATGGAGCCCTATGCTTTCCTACTGAGAAGCAAGTTTTGAGTTTTACGGGACTCCTTCCCTTATAATCGAAATAAGATTGCAACTTAAATTTGAATAGGAGAAAGGAAGAACACATTGAACTAAAAAGGATCAGGAGAAACAAGAATAATTTTTCTATTTCACTGAAGGCGAAGAGTGGTACCAGATGTCACTGATCTCACCCACTATTTGGTAGTCTTGAGCTTTTAATTCACTTCACTGTCACCTCTCCATTACCACCACTAAGAGCAAATGGCTTTTTCCTTAGAATCTGGAAGGATGTAATATTGTCTGCTGTTACTCCCTTAAGCAATAGAAACTCTCAGAAGCAGGCTTTTACAAGGTCAGTTTTCCTGTGAAGAGAGAATGCTACATACAGAGACAGCAATTCCCTGAAAGCTTGCTTGGAAGTAAGTTCAATTAGCTTTATTGAGGCTTGCTTTGGGGTAAATTGTGTAGACTTGCAGGCCTTGGGCATTTTTGTAAACAACCCACCCTGCGCCATGTATTCTAGTTTAATTTTGCCTCTAGTTTGGTGCTGGTCTTTGACCGTAATAAATTCAGTTCATACCTGTCTTTAGTTTTAAAAATACACATCCCTTCTCATGGATCAAGAGAGGACAACATATGCCGATGAGTGGGCCTCATTGCAGTACCCTTGAACCTACTTGAGAAGGTGTACTCCTTGTGGGGAAAAATGTTGTTTATCTTTCAAAGAAGCACATTAGTGGTTCCAGGAGGTTTCCGGCAGTGCTACTGTTCTTTCAAAAGAGGGAGGCGTGTTTCTGATTCCAAAGGAAAAACTGTACTCTTAACATTTCTTTTCTGGCCATTCTTTCACAGAAGCAACAAGGGGCAGGCAAAAGACCAAGGAGGTCAAAAAACTCAATTGGAGGCCACAAATGTCACTTGCGACTAGTCTGAAAGAATGTTCTCAGTGATTAATCAGATATTTACAATTTTTACAGATACAGTATATACCCATCCTAAAAAACACATGAAGTGACAGGAACCTCACTATGCCCCCAATGTATATATATATATATTGAAAAGTAGGGATTGTTAAGTAGAAATCAGGAGTTGCTTGAGGCCAGCAGGTGTAGTCCTGAGGATAGTCAACAATTACTGTGGAAGCTGTTCTCTATTTGGGATAGACTTTCATTAGACTGAATTAACTCTCAACTGGAGCTGTTGGTGACTACTAGTCATGAAGCATACTAGCCTTTCGCCTCTGAAGGTTGTTTACCGTGGAGCATGAGTAAGAGTGTGTTACTGTTTTCACATCCTGCTTGCGACCAGATCCTGAAGTAGATGAGCCTTTGGTCTACTCTGGAGTTCTTATACTGTATTGTTAGTGTCTGGAATGTGAAAGTATATTTATAGCCCTTTGACCTTTTCGATTGGGAAATTCCCTCTGATACATACAACATTGTTGCAAAAAAGTACGGCACTTGAATATGTCATCCTTTTGGGTAAAACTTTTACAGAATTCGTAATGCTGACCTTCAGACTTATTAGACACCATTCGTGAACCACACATTCATCTCCCATGTAATAGCTCCTGGTGTTGATACTGCTGTATCATAGGATAATTAAGTGGCCCAATTGATATATGCCTGTAATACTGCAGATTTTTGGTATGTAGTCCTTTGCAAACTTCCTGGAGAGAATGTTTCAAAGGATATTGTCTGTGTGCTTCTTATTGCCAGATGAAAGCTGTTCCTTTTGCTCTCCGAGTGCCATTTTAGATTCCAGCTGAAGATACGATACAGCTGGCGCTGAATGGCCTTTTTTTTAAAAAAAGACACATTCATAGTCAAAGTGTGAAACAGAAGAAAATGTTAAGAGCATTTCCTGTGATTACTTCTATCTTCTTCTGCCTGGTAATTACTCCAGCAGTGTTATCAGCACAGGACAGTCAACCTCTCTTTTTTTCTTTCCCTTTTCAAAGCCAAGGGATTACAGTAGTGCTTTTGGAGCAATTCTCTAATACATTTAATTCTTTTTAAAAACCATATTTTATCCAACTCTTCACAAGGATGACATTAAATGATATAACAGGCACATTTCCTTATTTCACATAGCCTATGGGATTAGCTCTCTCCTTTCTTCCCAAATGCCTTCTACATTTTCTTTCCTCTTTTGCTTATGCTACTGAATCTTGACCCATTTTGGGGCTATAATATTAACTCTATTACTTTTATCCAGCTTTTGAGCAGGGGAGCATCTAGCCCTTCCTCTTTCTGATTTTCTTTTTCCATGTGGAAAGCAACAAATCTGCTAAGGAGAGGTCCCTACTAATGAGTATGCTCCTTGTGCATGCAAAAACCCTGGGACACTGGAAGTCTTAATCCTGGGAGATCTTACACACCAAGGAACCTCTCTGGTGCAAATATGTAACCTTCCATGTGGAGAAAATGGGGTGTTTGTGTACTGTTAGCTGAAGGCAGGGTAAGTACTTCCATATCTGGTTTGGTTATACTTTACCATGCTCACATTCCTTTAAACATTTGTCATGTGATACTACACTCAAGTATTTACTATTCAAAATGTGGTGATATAATGCATTTCAGAAAGTAAAATCGCTAGAGCTTTTCCTTGAATCATGTAGAGTGGGTTTACATGATGATCCTCTGGGATTCAGAGTGTCACAGTTACTCATTATACTCAGACTTTGGAACAATTACTTATAAAAATCCCATGTAGTTGATCTGGTAGAATTATTTGTAACATGATGTTCAGTATAGTGTAGTGGATAGAGTGATAGGCTAGGCTTCAGGAGGCCTGGGTTTAAATCCCCACTCTGCTATGAAAGCTCACCGGGGGAGTAGAACTGGTAAAACTTTAAATATCTCATTTACTTTGAAAGGCCTGTTAAGGACACTATAAGTTGATTCCAAGTAGGTGACACATAACAATAACTTATGTAACAGACTAGTGTTAAGGACACTATAAACTGATTCCAAGTAGGTGATACATAACAATAACTTATGTAACAGACTAGTCATGTAAATAGTTAAGGAAAGTAACACTCTACTGATGTGTAACAGTTATTTTAAAAATAATCTAAAATCAAAAACACTAAAAATGGCCACCCACGCAAATCCTCCTAAAATGTAAGATTTATGCAATAATTAAACATTACTTGTTGTGTAAAAGATTGTCACAATGGTGTTTTTCCTACTTTAAAAAGTAATATGATTGCCCTGATCCACTTTAAAAAGTAACTTGTTGTGAATAATGCTGTTCCTTTTTATCATGTTATATCCAAGTCTGATCCTACAACAGCTTAGTTATTGATACCATCAACGTATCTTCATGTTCCTTTTCCTTAAAAGTAAGGAGAACATCCTTACTCTGGGCAATGATGTATAAGTGTTCCTTGAAGAGACCAGATGTTCAGTGAATTCTTGGGTATGAGGAAATGTTAATGAGTTCATCCAGAGGTGAGAAAGGAGGGTACCTACTGATTTTCTTTCTTTCTTTTATACAGTCCCTAAAAAGTACTGGAGCCTTATTCTTCTTGTCAGCGGAGGCAGAATTATATGTTTTCTGAAAAGTAAAGGTAGAGGCACCAATTCTAATTCCAACCTTCCATAAAATGTTGCTACCAGTCAGGGACAGTAGTAGAAATAATATGTTTCGGACAAGTGCTTGACAGGAGGGTTTCCAAGCTGATGTGAAACTTTCTGTATTGCACCCTGGCATATTGTATTGAAACTGTTATGACTGTTCACACAATAAATATTTGGTTACCCAAGGAAGGTGCATTGCAAATGTCCACACAGCAGAGGGTCAAACGAGGTACATTCCTCCCAGTAGCACCTCACATCTTTCTCTGCTATTACCGTCATAACCTTCCCCACTGACCCCCTCTATTAGTTCCACTTCCAAAGTGACCTAGCTCAGCATCAACTGTTGCATCTCTTGAAGCTGTTGAGGGCCTCCTCAGATCATCCAGTACATGCATGTGTACGTGTGTCTGTGTCTTCCTGAGAGGAAAGAAACCAAGATTCCTCCTTCTGTTTCTCCTTTTCCCCTTCCAGAACTGAGGGGAAAAACACATATCAGTCAAGTATGATTTTTTTTTTTTAAAAAAAGAAGCAAACCCAAAGTAAACACACGGGCATATCAGCCCAAAGATTTGTTCTAAAAACAATGTTCCAAAGATGCGAGAAAGCAGGTCAGCCTTCGATGCTGGGTGGAAAGCTATGGGAGGCCAAAACAAAGGGACTACAGGCACTAATAAGGCAGTGAACAGCCTGGGCAGCAAGACAAAAACCTGAACACCCCCTTCCCTTGCCACCTTCAGCATGCCTGCCACCTATCCAGGCTGCAAATAGCTCTCCCGGCCTCACATTTCAAAGAGTTCTGCTGAGTAAAACTGAGCCAAATGGAGGAACTATAAAGAAAGATAAAGGCAAGGTGGGTCCAGAAAGTCTCGTCAGATTTGGGGGCACTTGTTCATGAAAACAGATCTGTTCCCCATTCCCCTGCAAAGTAAGATAAGCACCATATGGGTGTCTTCTAGTCCAAATGGACAAGACACAGCCATTCTGAGGTGGCATAAACAAGCAGCTTCAAAAAAAGAAGTTCTTATTAAAGATATTTTCAGCTACGGGTATAGAACTGAAGGAAGTACTTTAATGCTGAACTATCACCTCTTGTTTAGCTGAAGACACCACCCTCAATGTGATCAGGAAGGCACAAAGCAAGACAAAAGCAGTTTGAATACCTCACTACTCTGCACTTCTCTTGTACACAGTGATTAATCTGCAAACATGTTGAACTTTCCTTATATGCCCACATACCCATTGAATTTTCTATGGAGTTAGTAAATCACAGGAAAAAAAATACCACTATTTTTCCAATTCTTCTTGTGGCCAAGAAGTATGTTTTTAACCACAGTCTTTGGTAGCAGTCTGTCTTGTATCTCCCTACCTCTAGATAATTTTCTCTCTTCTCTTCTTTTCTTTCAGCTTTTACTGTGTTCAGCTCGTTTGCAGAGAATGAAGATGCCCTTTTGCGGCACTTGTTTCGGGGGTATCAGAAGTGGATCCGACCAGTGAAACATTCCAACGATACCATAAGGGTGTACTTTGGATTAAAGATATCTCAACTAGTAGATGTGGTGGGTAAATGTATAAACGAGAGATGGGGACAAATTAAAAAATGGCGATTCGGGTTGATCCATTATTCATCAAGGTTAACGGATCAATGAATACGAATATACGAATATTCTTTGACAAATCGATTGATCGATCCATTGATTTGTCTGCACTTTAAATGGCTATAACACTGGCTCCCAACAACCTAGAGACACAAAAATTTGCAGGGAAGCTCCCTCAGATGCTTTTCTACAACTCCTGAAAGTTTGGTGAATATTAGATCATCGACCCCCAAGTTATATAGTCACAAAGAGGACCCCACAGGAAAGCTCCCCCCAGGTCCTTAGATAATCCAGAATCACAATGGAGCTTCCTATGTCTTTCCTCAACACGCCTGCCAACTTTGGTGAAGATTGGGTATCAGACATCCGAGTTATTTACCCATAAATTGGGTCTCCCCAGGAGAGTTTACAACACCACACAGAAGCCCATTATGCCTACCGGCTGCCGATCAACTGATCAGAAGCTGATAGGCAAACACCCCCCACACACAGCCAGGCACCTCAACAGCCTACCCCCACACCCCCTTCCTTTCCCTACCTTAGCCCCCATCCCACTGCCACCAACACCCCCTTACCTTAATAGCTGCTGCAGAGGTCTCCATCAGGCCTCCGCAGTCATGGTGTGTAAAAAGGGAGACTGGCTGCCCTTTGCAAAGATTGCAGTTGCAGCTTCATTTAGGGTAGGGAAGCTGCAGCTGACATCTTTGCAAAGGGCAACGTCTCCATTTTTACATGCGTGGCTGTGAGGCCAGAAGACTCGGCAGCAGCGATTGAGGCAAGAGGGTGTTGGTGGGGGTGGGGGTGGGGGGGCACCTAAGCAAGGGGGTGAGGGTAGGCTGTGGTATTGAATGGCTGTGTGTGGTGATGGCTGCCTTTCTGCCGCTGATCAGCTGACCGGCGGCTGGTAGACAAAATGTTGGTTTGTTTTTTTTAAAATATGAAGGATGAATAAAAACAGGTAAATATTTGTCCCTTCGTATTTGTGGGGGTCTCTGGAACCCACAAATACGGATCAGCACATATTTAATGAATTGGCTATATTCGTTGGAAAAACTGATCTGTTTTTATATTCGTCCCCATCTCTAGTATAGACCCGTTTCTTTGGGTCCCGCTAGGAGAGATAAGCATATCTGGTGTCCTTGAGTGGTACCAGGCAACAGTATATTTGCTCCCATTTCCTTCTGTCAATGCTTTTCATGTTCTCCTGAACATATCCCAGTTGTTCTCCTTTCTCACAATCAGTGAACATGGTAGAGGTAGGAATACTGTAGAAGAGCGTAATCTGTCCCGATAGCATTTAGGATCTCAGATATATATGTTTGAAAGGTGTGTGCTTTGTTTGACGTGTATGTGGTTGATACTAGAGGCTTACAAGGTGGAACACCTCTGCAGACTCTTCCTCATTGTCACACAAAGTGAAGTATACTGCACATTCTCCATCTCCCTCTCCTTCACATACATGGATGCCAAGGTCTCTGGGTCATACACTGGACCAGTGACAACTATATAATACCTCTGAGCAGAAGGGAGTTATTGCTTTCAATACCTGCTTATAGTTGTTCCTATAATGGTTAGAGTAGGGACAGACCGCTGGAATAGAAAGGGTTTTGTCTGTATAAACCAGGGACAGCGTCTCTGGATGGAGCACACCAGTGCAGTCCCCCTTCCCACAACCAAGGATTCCATCCAAGCCCTTCTCAGACATCACAACACCACCGACTGCAGGTGTCATTGGCCGCTGTATGGAATCTTTGCCAAGAAACTGGGATGTGACAACGTTGGAGAATTAAGGACAGCAAGTAGTTTTCTGCAAACCAGACAAGGGCGGAGGGCTCTGCTTTCAGCCTGACCGATCAAGAGGTTCTACACTGCCAGCTAATTACAGGTGGTGATGTTGTACTCCTTTACTACTTCTGTCCTTGCAAAGACTCAGTCCCCAGTGCAGGAGAGCTCAGCTGGCTAGAAAGTGACCATGGGCTAGCCTATGAGGTTTCCAGAGTCTCTGAAAACCACTGCAAAGCCAAAATAGCTGATTTCTTCCAACCACGAAGCTACAAAATGTTGAGGAGCAGCCTTCAAGGCCAACGTTTGCAACTCAAGTGTAGGAGCTGGCTTAGAATTGGCCAAGTAACATCACCTCTCCCTTACTTGCCACCATTAAGTACAAGCTATAAGGTTATAAGTCTGAAGAGGCATGCCATTAAAGAGTCAGTTCAGTTGTTTTGAGGGATGTGGTGGTGCTGCGGGCTAAACCGCAGAAGCCTGTGCTGCAGGGTCAGAAGATCCGGCAGTCGTAAGATCGAATCCACGCAACGGAATGAGCACCCGTCGCTTGTCCCAGCTCCCGCCAACCTAGCGGTTCGAAAGCATGCAAATGCGAGTAGATAAATAGGGACCACCTCGGTGGGAAGGTAAACAGCGTTCTGTGTCTAAATCACACTGGCCATGTGACCACGGACAGATTGTCTTCGGACAAAATGCTGGCTCTATGGCTTGGAAACAGGGATGAGCACCGCCCCCTAGAGTCGGACACGACTGGACAAAAAATTATCAAGGGGAACCTTTACCTTTACCTTTACCTTTTCAGTTGTGCAGTACAGAAACTCCCCCAGGGAAATGGAACTCCCCAGAAACCTCAAGAAAGGGCTGCTTGCTTTCTACTTGTGAGGAATGTTGTGTGTGTGTGTGTGTGTGTGTGTGTGTGTGTGTGTGTGTGTGTGTGTGTGTGTGTGTGTGTGTGTGTGTGTGTGTGTGTGTGTGTGTGTGTGTGTGTCTCTATTTCCTTGAAGAAATTGATACAGTTGCTTCTCTCTCTCCCTCCCCAGGATGAAAAGAACCAGCTGATGACAACTAACGTATGGCTGAAACAGGTAAAATATATACAGAACGATGTATTATATTAAAACACTTGTTGCAAAAAACATGTCATGATGATTGCCAAAGCCTGTGAATTCTGATTACTGCCTGTGAGTGTTTCACAAGGATGTAAAGATGGAGGTTCTTGAATTTAAGGAACTTTAGCCCTATTGGCCTTTTGATATAAGCAAGCTTATATCTCATATTAAATAACTTGATTGTGTTATAGCTTCAGGGTTATGCTGATTAATGGTCTGTGAAGATTATTTAATTTAGTGTACTTGCAATATGACAGCTACAGACATAATGGTGTGGGAGAACTATTTGACTAATATTGCTTTTTTATATTGTGCTCATTAATTCCTCTTTTAGAAGTCTACTAAAGGCAGAATCATTTCCCTTAAATCAGCCTAGGCACTGTCCACTAATCTTGGTCTTTCCCAGCAAGTCTGGACTTCAGAATTTGCACTGTGTACGTCCTGGGGTGCATTGTTTAGTTCATGCAGAGCAATGATGAAGTCCATAGGTGTCAGTAGCTGAGCTGTGGTCATCAGATGAAAAAGAGAACAGTGTTCATGTGCCTTTAATAATTGTTTAGACAAGGAAATTTCATCATGTGAAGATTTTAATGCAAACTAGATATACCAACATCTATTCATTTTTATTTGATTTATTTGATATTTATACTACCTGACTTAGTGAAAACTCACTATCCTGAGTGGTGAACATAAAGGAAATTAACTCTACCATGACACTATCACTCTCCACCAACAATATCAAGTGATAAATACTATACAAAAGAAAGTAAAGAACTACGAATTATAACAAATCAGAGCAAAATCAACAAAGTCAAATAGTGTCAGAAATAAGGTCCGAAAGATAAAGTAATAAATTCCTGCCTCAGAGACAATGTGTTTTGAAAGGCCTCTTTCAAAGTTCTGCTTTAGCAAGTTTTCTGATGATAAGGAATGGTGAAACCTGATGTGTCTCCGATGGCAAGGAGTTCCAAAGGGATAGGACCATCACTGAAAAGGCCCAATTCCTGATTGATGATCTTCTGGGTGGTCCAGTTTTTTAAAAAAATATTCTTAATTTATCTTTATAAACCACTTATAGTAGTGTCCCACACTAAGACAGCGGTAAATAAATAAATAAATATGGGATGCTGGATTTTCATATCAGTTGCTCAGCATCCATTCTTCTCTGATCTCCACATCCACTTGTAAGTATGATATGCCATCACGTGCTGACCTGACCCAACTCTACCCTAGCAGATGATCCATCTGTGAATACGATGCAATAGATAATTCCCTTTGAAGACACAACTATTGACCAGAGTTTGGATGAAATCTATTACAAATGATGACATTATCTTTAATGGGTTAGTTTTTGTGTAAGGATGTTGCTAACATTATTATTTTTTAAAAGCTAACATAACAATTGGTCATCTCATTAAATCTCTTTTTTAGTACAACAAGTACCATTTGCTTGTTACCTCTTATCCGAGGGGCATTTGTTTATATTACTGGTGAACTGCCCAGAGTAGACCTTTGGTCTAGATGAGTGGGGTAGAAGTCTAATAAAATAAAATAAATAATAATGAACCTTTAATCATTTTTCTGAATGAAAAGTAACAGGAAAGCAATGTATTAGTGTTAAAATTACAAATGATGTTTATTTATTTTTTTAAAAAAATAGGTATAGTACTAAGTTTCTTATTTTAAAAATGTTTGAAGCTTTGAGATTAACCCATAACAGTTTCAAGGAACTGGAGTCTGAGGAATGGCTCTGACTAGCAGCCCCGAATGAGCCTGGAGTCAAGATGCCTGGGACAAAAGCCGGTGATACGACAAAAGAGTATTAAGTCACAAACAAAGAGCTTGGCTACACTAGTGGCAGAGACAGCTAGTGTGGTCTGCTTTGAAATTGTCAGGCTTGATTAGAGCATTCTAATCAAGTCCAATAGTTCACATGGAAATCACTCCTGCCCTATTGTGAAGTGCCTTAATAAGTGAGCCACTTCAGGATATTGGCAAGTTAACCACTTTTTCTGCTTGGCACAGAGGAAGTGATTTTTTTGGACTGTATATGGACTATCACTGATGTGCTGCATCATTTATATATATATATATATAATTAAAAAAATTCTTTGCTTTCTTTTAAAGGACTGGTCAAGGAATGGTCTACAACCAAAGCCAGTACTGCAGATTCAACTGTGGGTGGTTTCCCACTGGGAAGCAGAGGAAGTGATTAATTTGCCAATATCCTGAAGTGGCTTGCTTATTAAACCACTTCATCATATTGGCATATTTAAACTGGAAGGTTTGCTTTGGATTGGTTCCAAGTGATCACATGTGCTGATCCAAACCAGATGATCCTGCCCCCACAAAAAAGGTAGAAGCCCCTGATAGGGGCTCAGAAAGGTATGGATAGGATCTTTCTAGAGGTGGGCTAGTCCACTCCAACATAGACATAATCTAATCACCATCTTAAGGAGCGGATTGGTCCATTCTTACAGTGGACCAAAGAGCGGGCTAAACCCCAGGTACTCAGTCTCAAAGTGGGTGTAATTAGGGCAGATCAAGAAGCAAGCCAGAAAACAGGACTGAAGAAAAACAAAAGATACAGAAACATACCAGAGCTCAAGAAGACCTTATTGCTTACACAAAGGTCAACTGGGATGGGAACCTTCTTATACTCCTTCCAGTCCAGTTCAGCACTATTCAGTGGCCAGCCTAGATAAATGAAGTCACTCCAATGCCTGATAGTGCCTCATTGGGTTGATGTATATGAATGTGAAATAGGAACAGTGAAGAAAGTCGACAGAAAAACGATGGATTCATTTGAAATTTATTGTTAGATGAGGGCTTTGTGACCTAAAAGCAAAACAACTAAACTGAGGCTGTTGTACTTTGAACAGATTATGAGAAGATAAAACTTATTGGAAAAGACAATAATGCTAGGAAAAGTTGGAACAAATAAGAGATGGATTGATTCAATAAAGGAAGTCACAACCTTGAGTTTGCAAGAGCTGAGTGGAGCTGTTGACAATAGGACTTTTGAGAAGTCTCTAATTCATAGGGTTGTCATAAGTCAGAAGCGACTTGATGGCACACAGCAACAGCAGCAGCAACAACTTCACTGCAAATCTGCTGCTTACAGTTCAATAGATCACCATATGGGATAGTTGTCCACAGCTCTTAGCAACACCTGATCAATAGGGAACCAAATCATACACAAGACTGTACTGGTGGCTAACTCCATGCTACCTCCTAGTAGGTTCTTTCTAGACATAGAATTAAAGGCATTGGTCCCCTCCTAGGAATTCTCAGTTCACATGTTGGGAGGAAGCTTAGGAGCAGGTGGATCCACTTTTGTAACGCTTTGCTGTGATCGTCTTTTTAATTATAGCTAGACGAACTTTCCTATGAAGAAGGGCAAAGGAACAAATTCAGTGTCCTTAGAAAAAGATGATATAATGAAAAGTAATGGAAAGGATTAAATTGTGCATTATCTGTGTTGCAGGCTGTAATTGATTCTTAGCAGCTGAAGCATGTAAGCATCAAAGAGGAGGATGAATATTTTAGCGAATTATGCAGAGGAGCTTAACTTGGAATTGTGAAATGAAATTGAGAAATCAAAGGTGTAACTGCAAATGGTGTGCAAATTTGGGTCAGACGGCTGTAAAAACATATAGCAGCAGACCTTCTTTCTGAGTATGCATGCACAGAATTGGACAATGTCTCTCCTCCCTCACTTTAAGACTGCTAACCGCGTTATATCCCATTGCATACGGCAAGAGAGGGGTAAATGGATAATTTTTTTTTAAAAAAAATCCCTACCAAACTTTGCCATGCCTACTGCAAGTGTGATGCAGAGAGACAGGTTATTTGGGAAATTCCCAAAAAGGAGCATACCAGGTATGAGGGATGGCAGGAGAACTGGATGTTGTAAAAGGCTTGTGCCTAAATTCTCTACAGGAAGGTGTTTTCATTGTTGTTATTGATTTTAGTTAGCATACTCCTTTTTCTTTTATTTGCATTCCCATCAGACGGCCTTAAAAACTTATAAATAATAAATCTAAATGGAGAGGTACTTCTCTTTTATTACAGCAAGCGTGATGTCACTCTGAGATAGCTTCTGCATTGCAAATCAATATTCGGTTGCCAGAGGACCAGAAAAAAAAAGCAACTTGGCCTTCTCTAACTCCTTTTTTAAATGCCTACTGCATTTAAAAAGTGCAGGAGGCTTTGCAGGACACAGAAATAAGCCTGATCGGCTGCTCATGTCTGCAGAGGTCAAGCTGCTTTTAAAAGAAGTCTTAGAAGAAAGCTAGCTGGGAAGCCTGAATCAATGGGAAAACATATCCTTTTCTTTCTGTGCTTCTCTTTTTTACAAAGGATATCAAAAGATCAATTTTACTGGTGGACTTCTATGACTTAAAATGTATGAATTCTGCTGCATTCTGAAAAGTTGTGTGAGTTTCTTGCCTTAATGTAACTTGCTTATTCTGGGACAACTTTCTTCAACTGGGTGCCCTCCATATAGGTTCAGCTGCAACTTCCATAATCTGTAGGGATTCTGAGCGTTAGTCCCTACATGGGGAATGCCTAACGTCACCAGTTTAAAGACATGGAGATCCGCTGATGTTGTGAGGGACACATGGCACATGAATGTCTCAACAGCAGCTTCATATCTTTTTCTTGCCTTAGGCTGATCTGTGGCTATGTACCTAAGTGCTGACCATTTTCAGGGGCTGAAATATTTGGGTGATAGACCATCCAGTGTGGCTATACTCACAAAACTTCAGCTCTGTTGCTTTTTGCTGATTATTGCAGGAATGGATTGACCACAAATTGTGCTGGAATCCAGAAGACTACGGTGGGATCACAGCGATTCGGGTCCCATCTGAATCTCTCTGGCTTCCTGATATTGTTTTATTTGAAAAGTGAGTATAAGAATCCTACACAAAAAGTTGGTATTTTTAAGTTTCATGGCTTGGTGCATATTATTTTGGAGGTCCCAGAGCACACAACAATTTCCATGTAATGGTGTTTAGAAAGGAGTAAGTGTTTATTGGAATTTATTGCATATTGGGTATCTATTTACCATTACTAACATGACATAAATGAAAAGTCACAGTGTAAGAAAAATGGAGTCAAAACAACTTAAAACACAGGAATTTTTTGCTTCTTTCCCCCCCCCCCAACTCTTTCTAGTGCTGATGGGCGCTTTGAAGGTTCCCTGATGACAAAAGCAATTGTCAGATACAATGGGATCGTCGTCTGGACACCTCCAGCCAGTTACAAAAGTTCCTGCACTATGGATGTGACCTTCTTCCCATTCGATAGGCAGAATTGTTCAATGAAATTTGGATCGTGGACTTACGATGGCAGCATGGTTGATTTAATCCTAGTAGATGAAAATGTGGACAGGACAGATTTTTTTGATAATGGGGAATGGGAAATCTTAAATGCTAAGGGAATGAAGGGAAACCGAAAAGATGGATTGTATTCCTACCCTTTCATAACCTATTCTTTTGTTCTGAGACGGCTCCCCCTGTTTTACACTCTTTTCTTAATAATCCCGTGCCTGGGATTGTCTTTTTTAACTGTGCTGGTTTTTTACTTGCCCTCGGATGAAGGAGAGAAGCTCTCGCTGTCGACTTCTGTTTTGGTCTCCCTTACTGTTTTTCTCTTAGTCATTGAAGAAATCATCCCTTCCTCCTCCAAAGTAATCCCTTTGATTGGGGAATATTTGTTGTTCATCATGATTTTTGTTACCTTGTCTATCATTGTGACTGTTTTTGTCATCAACGTACATCACCGCTCTTCGACCACCTACCATCCAATGGCCCCTTGGGTGAAAAGACTCTTCCTTCAGAAACTCCCCAGGCTGCTCTGCATGAAGGGCCACATTGACCGCTACTCATTCTCTGATCCTGAAGAAACCTTGAAACAAAAGCTGACAAGAAAACATAAACACAAACAGTTCAAAGACGGAGAAAAAGTAGTGATTGCGTTCTTGGAAAAGGCCGCCGATTCCATCAAGTATATCTCCAGGCATGTTAAAAAGGAGCACTTCATTAGGCAGGTATGTGTTAGAGATCAAGAAAGGGGCTGGTTTCCGCTTGGCACAGTCTGTCCCTTTTCTGATTGGAATCTGCCGTAATTTCACATTGGGTTTCAACTGATCAAGCAGGCAGGACCTTTTTAATACATTTAAAGCCATGTCTCATCTGTGCCAAGTTTGTTCATAAAGCATTCCTTGTTTAAGAATGTAGGAAGTGCCTTGTCTGTTCTAACGATGGGCAATTTTAGTAAGTCCGGGAGTCAGTTCCTTAAAAAGAAAAAAAAAGGAAAAAAAAGTGCTGTCCTCTGAAGATGCCGGCCACAGAGACTGGTGAAATGTTAGGAAGATCAACCTTCAGAGCACAGCCAAAGAGCCCGAAAAACCCACAACAACCATTAGATCCCGGCCATGAAAGCCTTCGCGAATATATTAAAAAAAAGGAGCCAGGAGCCTCACCTTTGCTACTGTCACCAAAATGTTATGGTGTGGCATCATTAACCCTCCACCACAATTTTCTTCAGATGTGTCTTATTTCAAAGGAAAAATCCAACCCCCATCCCCACCCCTGCACCTAAATCTGACAACTTTGGATACTGTGAGGGGCACAACTGAGATCAGAAGTCAGGTTACACACAGCCTAGTCCTAAATAATCCCTTATATTTTAGTCAGAGTCCATCAGTAGACCATATCTTCCTTTTTTTAAAACATTCCTTCATTAAATTATTCATTAGAAGGGTTTTCATTAAAATATTTCACTTGAAATATTTGTCTTTTTAAAGACAGTACAGTTATTGCTATGCCAAAAGCCATTTTCCTTGTAGACTTTCTGCGTTGGTTTACTGATCATGCCATATGTAACATTAATTCATTTCCTGTCCTTAAATATGCTTTCCAGGCCTAAACGTCTGATATGAAAGGCTAACACTAGTTATCGCTGCTAATGAGGTGATAAGAATCCATCAGGGGGTTAGGCACATTCAGTGTTTCAGCGTTGTTGGTGCTCTACAGCATGATCTAGAATTGTCTTCCTCTGTTAAACAACTCCTGATGTCAAATGAGCATAACACTCACAACTGCCATTTTCTCTTCTAGGTGGTGCAGGACTGGAAGTTTGTAGCTCAGGTCCTTGACCGCATCTTCTTATGGTTATTTTTGGTGGTGTCTGTGACCGGCTCTGTTCTTATATTTACCCCTGCTTTAAAGATGTGGCTGCACAGTGGTTTGTAGAAATAACACCCAGCCTCTTTTGGTGACAGCAAAATGGTGGAACAGATATTCAATGTGCACTGTCTCAATAGGTATATAGACAGCTCAACATATCATGCTGCTGGTGGCAACCTTTGTTGATACTAGTATACCTGGATCAAGCTTTAAGGCTGAATCCTGTGCCCATTTTCCTGGGGCAAACAGTATTCAGCTCACTGGGATTTACTTCTAGGTAAACATGTATAGGATTGTACAAATAACGATGTCCAGTATCTTTTATATACACAGACCTTGATCTGCTAACTCAGATGCAGTAGAAAAAGACATGTTAAATCTGTAGACTAAATCCAAAATCAGTCCCAAGCGGAATAGACGTAATGAAGCATTGTTTATAAGTAGGGGAAGGATTTCTATGACATTTCACATTTTCTCTGCAACCTACATTTGAAGCCATAAGCAAGTTCAAACATGTTTATGAGTAAACTGGCCTTTCTTACCAGATAACTCATAAATATGCTCAAAGCAACCAATTGGCTCAAACATAGGTTGCGGGGGGGGGGGAATGACATGTCATAGAAATCCTGCCCCTAGTTATAAGCAATGCAGATTCCATTGATTTCTGTATGTCTATTCTAGTTGGAACTAACATCAAATTTAGCCTTATATGTGGTAAGCACATAAAGTAGGCATGTCTAATTCATGTCTAAGAATTGTTAATTTAGCAATATCTGTGGGACACTAGAAAGATTTTATAAAAGTCCACTATGGTCATGGGAACATGGTTAGTCACAAAAAGTTACATAACTGGACACTACACAATTTTATTCAGTCATACCTAATCTCATTTCTGCACTCAAATGTAAATATTCTATTTGATGCAAATTGTCAAGAGAAAAGTAAGATCCCTATATATTTGTTGCACTATTTTCTTAAGAAATCAATAATATATAAAGACATAGCACTGCTCCATAACGTTAATGAAGAATAAATATAAAAAGCACAGATATTTTATATTTTAATCTATTATATATGCAGCTGAATTTAAGTACAGTATGTCTTGTGCACAGTGCACAGTGACCTGTCCTTGTGGATGACATCATTTGTTTTCATTTTTGAAAGCCATTCTTAGTCCCTTCCATGGCTTGTCAAAAGCCAACCTGCTCACGTTGCCTCTCAGCTCTTGGAAACAGATGGGGCTTTTGCCAAGTGTTTAGTTTCCCCCTCACATGCAGTGGCCCAGGAGAGGGATGAGAAAAACTTCCCAGCATGCCAAGTCATGGCCTGTGTGTCTCCTCTGCTGTCAAGGGACATTTCTCCATTAATTTTACTCATTTTACAGTCCTTCACTCTTAGAGATTTACCACTAGCCCTTCTCTATGGCTGCAGTGCTAAGCATGTATGCACAGAATAACTGCTTTTTAACTCTGTGGAATTTACTTTGGTTAAACTCTCAGGATTCTATTGCATATTGTAAAGATTACAGCTTTCAGAGCTGTTCTACTATTGCACTTCCAAAAATTGTTTACATAGGATGCATGCATTCATTTCTTCACATACCACCATGGTGGTGTTGTTATGTGCTGCCCAGTCACTTCCAACTTATGGTAACCTTGATATGTTTTTCAAGGGATCGCTTATGTCCAAGGAGTGGTTTACAATTGCAACTCCCCAGTGAGTTTCCTTGACTGACCAGGGATTTGAATGATGGTCTCCTGAGTTCTAGTCTGACATTCTATCCACTACACCAATGGTTCTCCTCTTGGGTCCCCAGTTGTTGTTGCCACTCCCAGAAATCTTGGCCAGCACAGCTAATGGTGAAGCCTTCTGGTAGTTTTAGTCCAAGAACATCTGGGGATCCAAGGTTCGAACAACTGCATTACACCACACTGACTCTCATAACACCATAGATACTGGTTAAACAGCCTCTTCAGGTTTCTGTAGCCGACCAACCAGCATGCAAGGACAGCAGCCTTCCTGGTATCAGTACAACCAATGCTCCAGCAATAGAAGAGTACTCATTCTGATCACATTACTACAGGCAGCATTATGGATGGTACCTGTGCTGAGCAACAAATTTCCTCTCCCTTTTTCCAGATATCTAAAGTCATTTGGAGGCTTTCAGAATATTCATTTTTAATGATCCCAGAAAATTTATCTGCCAACATGGACTTTCGTTTTAGAAGTTGGGAGAAGTGCTAGATTATTTCTTCCATTCTTTGTAAAATGTTTCCCTTTGGAAGTGAAATGGACATGCACAAACTTCTGCTAATCCATGTTGGTCAACTTCACTGTTCATCATATTGACCCTGGTTGGGATAAAAGTGAGGCAGCTTCAATTTGGAATTGCTGGACTTTGTCTCAACTGGCCGGATAACTCAGTGAGATGGAGCACCTGGAGCCAGAGGTCAGGAGTTTGATTCGGTGCTGTGCCTTCAGGGAGAACAGCCAGTCTGATCTGTCCCAGAGCACCTCACAGAAGAAAGGGATAGTAAAATGCTTCTGATTACTCCATACCTACAAAGCCTTGGAAAGGACTGCCATAAGTAGAAATTGACTTGATAGCAAGTAATTATAATCTTTAGGCATTTCCTCACTGCTACTGTGAGGTTCTCTGCCCCTTCCACCTTTTTAAACCTATAGTGCTTTAAAGATTCTGCTTCCAGCTTCCATTAATCATCATTTATGATCATCTGTACACAGCCTGATTCTGAAGCCAGTCATGCAAGGTTAACAATGGTCAGTAGCTGGAAGCTGTGAGTCCATTCTAGAGAGAAGCATCAAAATACTTCTTTGCCATTATCAAATTTTCTTCAGGACACAAACCTTTTTGATCCAATCCCTACTGCGGTGATGGTTGCCTTGCTAGATATGCCAATATTAGGAGAGGATGCAAGCAAATGAGGTTCATGCAGACAATGGGAGAAGTTGAGCTTGCAGACAAACTGTAGTGGTGGAACTTAAGGTCACTGTGACAGAGCAAAGGTTAGTTTGCAAGCAGTCTAACATATTTCACTTAAAAGTAGAATTAAAAATAAATACATGTGGAAAAATGCCAAACGCCTACTAATCTTCTCTGAAAGTCAGGAAAATCAGTGCTGTGCCCATCAGTTGACCGATACATGAGAAATTGATTCCATCGGCACTAATGAGTTAAAAAAAATGCCAGCCTGTTTTTTCTTTATAATTAGTAAGACATAAGAACAGAAGGCCTTGCCTTTTTGTCAGTAAGTGGAAGCTGAACTGTCTGGGTGTCGGTGTGTCCAGGGATACCTCTAATGCACCTGGTCTTTCTGGCTCTGTCTTTCTCTTACACACACACACATATGGGTTCCCTATCTACGGCCCTGGCAGTAATTCAGGCGCAGACCCAATCTGGATGAATTCTGAGCCAAATAAAAAGAACTGTTTTTCTGGCAACTCCTGTTGAAGCCAGTGAAAGAAAAATGTGGAAAATGCCACTGTGTGTCTTTCACATTGTCAGTCCTGCCACTATGACAGGTCATGCTGTATCTCTAGGCATACACTTGATTAACAACTTGGGGGGCTTCAGAAGTAAACTATTTTCTGTGGGCCAATCTCATGCATGTAGATATTGTAATTATCTTTTCAGAGACCTTTGGGCAGAGTGGGCAGCATATAAGTGAAATAAATAAAAACTAACTAAATAATTATTCTTATCCCCATCTGTTGTGGAGCTACCATACAAAGGGTGTTGTGACCCAAGAAACTTTCTGTGCTGGCTCAGAAATCATTTCTTAAAGATCTCAGCAGCACTTTGTCTATAATTAATGCCATTACTGTATAATTAAGTGTCACACCACAGAAGGTGACCAAGGATATGGAGGCATCTTTGGCTGGTAGAGACACTGTTCCTAGATACAGAGTAGGAAGTAACTGCTAGGGATGGGATTTTCAAATATTTTAAAACTACAAATACTACAATTCTCTGTGGTAGGCATTCTACCTACCTTACAGATACCTGGCAAACATCTCAATGTGATACACCTGGGTGAAAGGCCTAAATTATAAAGCCTTGAGGCTTAGCACTGCGCAAGTGCCCTGTTTGGAAAGAAAGATCCAAACTAGCACAGGGTAGGGATTGTACACACTGAGGTATTTGCCAGGTGACTGTAAGATAAGTAGAACTCCCAGAATGAAAAAGAAAAGGTATTTGTAGTTCAGAAAATCCCATCTCTACAAGTTGCTGGAAGTTATTTCCTGTAGAGACCACCACAGGTGATAGGGGAGAATTTCCAGGAATATCCTTCTCTTGTGCATCTGCAAAAAAAGGAGCCCTGTTTATATCTTACGACAGTAATTATATCTCCCCAGACATCCCTTTCCTAATTTCATGAGCAGCAGTAGGTATGTCAGAAATCTTGTCAGTGTTGCTAAAATCTATTGCATTTTCTAAACTAGATTATCAGAAGTTTATTTAGTATAAGGAGATAGACTTAAAGCTGTGTAGCTCTCTAAAGCCATGTTTTGACTCTCAGTAAGCCTTTTGGACAACACTAGAGTGATGTTTGCTTTGTTGTTGTTGTTTGTTGTTGTGTGCCATCAAGTCAATCCTGCCTTATGGTGACTCAAGGTTTTTTAGGTAGAGAATACTCAGAAGTGGTTTACCATTCTCTTCTTCTGGGTGGCGGGGGGGGGGGCGGTATCCTGGGACCTTGTAGCTTGCCTAAGACCACACATGAAGTCAGAACCAAATTATAGCAACCCTAATAGGGCTTTCAAGGTAAGTGAAATATTTAAGGAGTAGTTTTACCAGTTTCATTCCCTAGTAAGCTGCCATGGCTAAGTAAGGTTTCAAACCCTTTTCTCCAGAGTCCTAGTCCGTCACTCTATCCACTACACTATACTGGGAATTCTTGCTGACCTCAAGTTTGCCTAATTCCACTGTGCTTTGTACAGGGTCCTGAAGTGATGCTTGTGATCCTAAAGCTCTCTGTTTCCACTATGTGCTTACGACCCCTACAGTTGCTTGTCCTGCCCTTCCCTGCCTGTCCCAGGATTCAAGGTGCTTTCCACCCTTTCATTCTTACCACTGGGCAGCAGGTCCATAGGTCTTGATTCTGAACAGAAGAGGCCAAATGTTCTCATGAATCATCTCACACAAAGTGTGCACACAGTATGGAGTTGTATGAACACTTGAGCCTCACTTGTTTTGCTCCATTCTATAAACTATGGACATTAAACAATACTGTCCTGCAAAGGAAGGTTTCCTGTTGTGTGTTCAGCCACATCCTCTGGATGAAACCTTGACACAGGATGTAAACATGTTATAAGTTTATATGCTACAGTACATGAACATAGCACTGCTTTGAATGTCATTGGCCAATAGTGGTAGTAGATCATTGCAAACAAGAGCTGCGCATGAGTGTAAACATCATTAATAAAAGCAGTAATGAATAAATGATCCTGATCTTGAAAGTGTTGTTTTGTATGTTGTCAAAGAACTGGTAAAAAGGAGAGAAAAACGTAGCAGCAGGAAAAGGCTATGAGTTCTAAAAATAAACACAGAGGGCAAGCAAAAG